CACTTTTTTAGGTTGTTCCCATTTTTGGCTATTATTATTGTTTCTGATTGAAAATCCTTTTTCTTTAGTTTTAGGGTCCGTAGATGTTGTGGATTGGATGTCTGTGACTTGAGGTAATGACTTGAGGAGCTTGGAATCTCTTTCCAAGGAGCAAGGTGTCGATAAAAGGTCGGATGTCGGTTGACTCAGATGATTTTCCAGCCGACACATACGAGGTGCTCACGTAATTGAGCTCGGTAGAGGTCGTAGGCGGCTGCGCTGCGGGCTCAAGTGACCTCACTATGCCTGAACCCGATTCAGTGAAGGCCGTTATGTACTGGAGCCATGAGCTCCATTCTTCGGAGGTAGTGTAGCTACGGGGCGTGGGCTCAGGCGACCTCCGGCGGCCTGAGTCCGTCTGGCGTTTCCCGCGCGACAACCGCAGCTCATAGTGGCCACTCCTACTTGTTTGCAGTAGTAACACCGCAACACCTTCGGCTGATTGCAATCTCGGAAGACATGTCCGCGTGCATCACAGTTCCAGCAGACTGGAGGGTTGCGGTTACTCGATGATCGTGGTGGGCTCGTAGACGGTAGGCCTTGGCGCATATGGTTAGGGACGGTGGGCGTCGTATGCCTTGCCTGGTTACCCCCACTCCTTGCAGGGTAATCACCAGTGCGGCCGGTCTTTGGCGAGGTAGGTTGCAGTTTACGGTCAGGCTCCGAATATTCCATCACCGCAACATCGACGAAACGGTCCACTGACGCCTGGGCGTGTAGGCAGTCTCAGGTACCAACACTTGAGCAACTGGAGGGGGAGGGCGGAACAGCTTGCGCTCCCGTAGCAGCTCCTCGTATTCGTCGGCTCGCTCGATGAGGTCGGGTAGCGTGACAAAGTCATGACGTCGTATCATGAACTTGTACTCCGGCCTCATGTTCAAGTACACCAGGTCGATGGTTTCCTGGTTAGAGAAAGTGCCGCTCCGTCGGATCAGGGTTGTCAGGGCAATCACAAAATCTTTAAATGCCTCTGTTTCACCCTGAGTGCGCTTCCGTATCTCGTCATCCAAGTGGCGATGATAGCCAGCAGGGAAGAACTGGACCTCGAATGCCCGCCTAAAGTCGTGGAAGGAACGCCACATCATTTTGTTGTTCCTGTACCAGAGGAGAGCTTGGCCATGTAGAAGTGAAGGCAAAGCCTTCAAAACGTCCTCTGGCGACAGAGAGTAGGCCTCGCGCAGCTCCTCTAGACGCTCCAGGAACGAAACCGCATCTCGTCTGCCGTCGAAGCGCAAGTTCCACTTCCGGACCTTGTCACAGAGGGCGGACGACGTTTTAGCAACGTCCTCATGCAGGTCATGACTCCGCAGGACGTACGAAGACCGGACACCTCCATACACATCGTTCGTCCGAGACGGGACGGCGTACCGAGAGGTTAGCTGGTCCATCTCGTTAGCTGGCGGCTCAGCGTAGTCAGCATCATGTGTTCTTGGGCCCCGCCGTTCGAGGTTCAACACCTCGGCTAACGTGTGCTCCATGCTGCGCAGGTCGGCATTGGTCGATAGGCCTAGCATTTGGCGTATGCGGTCCAAACTTCGATGTATTGTGTCCTCGAAGGGGTATTCCCGAGGCAGAGACCCTTGAGCCGAGTCGAAGGTATGCTGGGCATCAGTAACGTCCTCTTGTCCGGCGAAGGACAGTTCGTGCGGTGCCGAGGTGACCGCAGCAGGTGGGCTCTGACGCTGGAATGTCGCAGGGGGTAGGCCTACGAGTCCATAGGTACCGGGTGGCCTCCACGCAGTAGGATGATGAATGGACCCCGTTCGGTAGTCGAAAGGCGATGGGCGTGGAGTAGTATCATGCATCGAAGTCCGGGCCTGGTTATCTAACACCTGGCCAGTCGTAAGCACCTCCTCCTGGGAGGTTGGAGAAGACGATGTGCCAGCGTTGCTCCGCCAGTATGTGCAGAGACGTTTGCGCAGTTCCGCCAGTGTACCGTGTGATGGCAATTGGTGTCGCGCCATCTCCACCATCAACTGTTGCTTTGACAGCTCATGTATCCAGCCGACACGTGGATCATCCGTTGGGTAGAGCGGAGCGGTATAGCCGGTCGAGGTCACCGGTCGTGTGTACACCGTTGACGTAGTAGTAACTGTTGATGCACACGAGCAGGTAGGGATAACCGATGACGTAGTCACCACGGCCCCAGCCATGGTTAGAACTCCTGGCGTCGTTGTCAAAATTTCAGGGAGCGAGTTGGGCATAGCTGCAAAGTATTAGTGCACAACAAGACAAACAAATTGCAACAATAGTTTAAAAGGCTGAAATTGATTAACAATTATGAAAATCCACAATAGGCCTATTTAAATTCAGGCCTAACGTTAAACAGCACTAAGTAAGTCCAAACAAGACAACTTTAAAAAAAAAAAAATTGTTTTATTTTTTTTTTTTTTTTTTTACCAGCCTAAGTCCCAACTAGGTACTCAAAACCCAGAAAATTTGTTAAAATAGGACCAAGTCCAAACTGCTCCAAAATCCAATAATAAAAGGCTAAAATGCAATAGGCTACTATAAAGTAAACGTTTTACCTAAAATAAATAGGCTATCACACAAATAGGCTAAAATATTTAACGCTAAACACCAATAGGCCTAGGCTAGCAATAGGCTACAATGACGAAACCAGAAAATATGTAGGCCTAAGCTACCTAATAAACTAGAAATGCTAGGCTAGAACGTTAACGTAGAATAAAAAATAACAGTAGGCCTAGGCGAATACTTGATAGGCTAGAGCGGTTAACGTAGGCATCTCGCAACTCTCCGTCAGCTGCTACAGCGATCTTAGCTTGAGCTCACCAAGTACTATCAGACTATCCAATCACTGGTCCAACTGTTTCAGGCGCCATTTATGTGACGTAATTTTCCTGGCGGACGACAAGAGGGAAATTACGCCACCGGTAAGGTAACGAGATCCCAGGATTCGCCCTAGTCTGGTCGCGGGGAGTTTCCCAGGAGTCGATGGTGATTCGGATAGCCTAACTTTGATAGCCCCGGTTGTCAGAGCTCGAGACGAACGTGGCGGGTTACTAACCACCCAACTAGAAATCACCACTCTAGCCTAGGGCTTGTGGGCAAAATAATAATTTTGACTTGACTCCGTGGGCAAATATCTAAATGACACACTACTAGCTAACTTAACAAATCAACAAGTAAGCTAAGTAGTCACTCCGCTTACCTACGGAGTTACGTCGTCGACCTGAAACAAACAAGGTTAGTACAAGATAGGCCTAACCTAGCCTAACTCCCACAGAGTCTGAATTTACTAAACAAGAAAACGAGTTGGCTTAAGTTGTCCAAGTGAGACACGAAACGAGAGAAAAAAAAAAACTGAAACTAAAAATAAAACTGCTTCAGGAGCTGATACGAAAAAAGAAAAACTAAAACTTCAACTTCCCCACGTGTTCAACTTAAGCAAACTTCTGCAATAATTATCAAGCAGAAACCTGTCTGCTGGGGCCAACTTCGGGGCGTTCGGGAACTTTACAAAGGGGTTTAAGAATTTAAAAAGAAAGTCCCAGATATGGATTACGAAACGTTAATCGAAATGATCTGTCACCAACTCCGATACTTTAATTAAATGAGTTGGTTAAAGCGTATGACGAGGTCTGCGAATCAGGCCTAGCCTATGAACTTCGACAAAGTTCTGCCGAAAGAAAAACCTAAGTTGTCTAAGTTTTATTGTACAACTTACCAAACGAAGTAGTAATACTGTAAAAAACGATTTTTCGCGCACTCGATGCACCACAGAACTTACTGTGACTTTTACGACGACGTAGTAGCACGAAAACTCTTCAAATCGAAGACGAAAGGACGAATAATTAGCGAATGCCTCAACAAAAGCCGGGAATACGAATGAACCAAACTTCACAAAACTTCTTCTTACTTCACCTTCGTCTCAGAATGGAGACGAAAGTTAAAACGATTCCTGATTGGTCAACGAGTTACAGAAACAAAAAAAAACTGGCAGCGAAGGCAGGCGCATGGCAGCTTTAACAGGCTTACAGCCGCGTACCGCTCAAAGGTGACCCCGCTGCTCATCTTCTCTCCCGTAGCCCGGCCTCAGACGCAGTCGAACAGCCAAACAACCAAACTGACACCAACGTCGTCTGCGGTCTTGGAATTGGAGGTTAGGTACGACGTCAGTTTAGTGTCGCGACTAGGCTTACTCAACAGCTTATGTTTAGCTGTTTAAAGTTCGTGGTTTAGCCGTTATTTTACCCCCTACACATTTGACCCGTTACAAAGTGATTCCTGAAGAAATGCTGGAGGAGTATTTGATGGAGTTTTCAAGTGCCTAATGTCAAGTAGGACGTCACTTGCAGGATTTCGTTCTCAAGAAATGGAAAAATGACTTTGTTAAGTTAAAATGGCAAAAGATAAGCTGTGTTTTGATGTGCTATTTATATCCATAGGGTGAATATTATTGAGTTTGTACTGCTTATAAATTGGGGCGCTTTCATTGCCCCACCCTGTATTTTCATATTTATAATTAAAAAAAATATTTTCTCCATTAGGTTTTTTTGTAAATATAGAGATATACAAATACTAGGTAAAAAATTATATTTATATTTTTTAAATCAATTTATCATGATGGTTAAAAGCTTAGGGAGAATCTACCAATTTTGCTTACTCTATTTGCTGTACCAATAAGTACCGAGAACTGCACCTGTTCGTGGTAATCTGTGGTAATCTGCAAACTGTACAAAGAAACTATTTTTTGCTAAATCTCTGGATGAATGGAGTCATATATTGTAGTCATTTTAGGCTGAAGGCCAACATTACATTAACATTTGTCTATTCACAGTCAGAGAATGACAACAAATGCGTTACGCATGCTCTTACCATGAAAAGGTACCTATTACACCATTCCAAAAATAAACTTAAAACAACTTTCATATATACTTTTAATCATTTAACACTTAATAATGCAATGTAAGTTCAAGTCATCCAACCCTTTTACTCACAGTTGTGATGTAGTCCTGGACACGGTTTCCAAGTCCTCGTCCCTCAGCTGAATACGTTCACTGGTGACTACGGCACTGGACGTGAAGAAGTTGGTGAAATCCTCGTCAAAGGCCTTTGGAACAGTGACTAGAGGGCCTTCAGAGGACAAAGCTGCAATGGTTACAACAGTTTATAGTGTTTTCAAAGACAAATAAGTTGCTAAGTAAAATATTGATGTATTCACCTGATATTAAGATTACATTGATTATCATGATTTGTAAATGTTATATTACGGTTGAAAAGCTACACTAGGACCACTTACTTTTATCTTCTTCACCAGGGGCGGACACACTACGTTTGAACGCAGCAGGGGTGGAGGGAGCTGAAACTTCTGCATCAGGAGAGGTGGGTACTGACTGTGCGTCTTTGGGGCCTGCGGAACAGAATTATAGTATATTTATTGGAAATATATCAAAAGCCCTAAAAACTGTATTTTTACCTGGGGAGTTCAAACTGTGATTTTTAGGAACCAAATATAATTCTTAAAATTCCAAAAAAAGTCCAAAAAGTTTCCCAATGGTAAGCCTGGAATTATACTTAAGTAGATTTTACTATAATTAACTTAATAAACAGTTGTTCACTGTATGTTTATGGAATCTGTATGAAACACTTATAATTTTTACTTTACTCTAAAAAAGGAAAAATATCTTAGCCCTACTTACTATGATATGGGCTTGTAGGTTTTGGATTGATAAATACTGAAGGCACACGTGTGACTACCAATCAAGTTTTTGGAATGCAAGTTCAAGGATAAAATAAAGCAACACAATACATAGAATGAAGAATAAAGAATCATATGATATACTTTGTAGCCATTGGGGATTTATTACTACGTCTATTTACTATTTTAATATTCAAGAGGGACTCGAATACTCAAATATTTGATCAATAATTCAAACTTTCCAATACCCATTATTCACACACCCCTAGTTTTTCTAAAAATTAATACCTTATCTATGTTGCAATATTTGTATGCGATGCAAATAATACTATTGATCTAGTGATAATGTATTTGTGTCTGTAAAGTTGTTTTTCAGGTACAAGTTCACTGTTATTTGTCTTTCCAGTTCAGCGTTATGTATCTGAAGCAGACTGTGTAGTTAACAAAAATTTGTATTTCACTTTTTTTTACCCTTTCAATCATTAAACCCGCAAATTCAAAGAAGTTAATCAGAGTATATGGGGCTTTACTCACAAGATCACAAAATGTGCCACTAGCTTTCCTTTTTTGGCACTTCCAAGTTGAAAACGTTATAACCATCAATAGCTATTATAAAGTATATAGAATTATACAGTAGCTATTCGTATAATATTGTAGTATATAAACCGACCTGGCCCTTTACTCCTGAACCTCTCCGGCTTCACCTTTTTCCGCTCCATGTTGGGAGAGAGCAGCGGCGAGAGCATGGGAGAGACTGGTCCCATCTTCCCTGCGACAGAGAACTTGGTGGCATCCGAGGGGTTGACTCTTCTCTTCCACCCTTCACTGGCCTCCTGGAGCAGTGAGAGGGTGTGAGGGAGGGAGGAGGACACGGGGGGAGGGACAGCCGCGGGGGGAGACGGGGAACTGACCCGTTCCACCAGCACCTGCGCTGCGGCCTGCAACATAGACGGGAAATACTGTTACTTTGCAACAATAGTGAGGAACGTTCCTTAGCTTTTCAATAATAATTGGGTTGTGGATAAAACTATTATTTCGTCACCTATTACTTTCTCGTTCGGAATATTTTAGCTAGTGGCTGTTAAAAGAAAGACGATATCATTGTTATTTCACTCGTTCTAAAAGTTCAGACAACGTTACAACCATAACAGTAATCTCAATAATATTTTGCCAAGGCACTATTATTTTGAAATGCTCCCTGGTAATAGGAAGACACGATGAGGAAAATACTTATTTCATTCGCTCGTTCAAACAGTTCAGACAACGTTAAAAAAATAATAGGGTATTCACAGTAATCTATTACCAAAGGGATAGATGACACTGTCAAGTAACACCAGCGTCTACAGCAAAACCAAACTATGTAGCATTGACTTTGGTAGATATTGAAATAGACATCTCTTCTTCAAGTTTTAGCAATAGCCTTTGTATTTTGTAATTTTGATAAAAAAGGAACATCAATGAATGAGCTACTTACAGAGAGCAATACAGTCTAAATTCATTTTTCCCTTAGTTTTTATTACTGTACAGAGATAGTTGAACGTAAAGCGGTTATAGTTTAAAATATGACCTGCTAACTGTTTGACTACAAAAGTTGGTCTCTTTTACCGAAATCAGCGTATTCCGTCAGTGGCTCAAATTAAAAAGAGTACATAAATTGCACACAGACACTGATCGCTAGCATCAATAATAATTGCGTTCACTCAAATCATCAGACAACTGTGCTTAAAATTATTTTACTTTTAATGGCCAACGTGAAAGTTTGCAGTTTGCATTTCAATGACAACTTCCCGAGTTCCTCTAGGCAGTATAAAACTAACTAAACTAAGTAAAACTTGAGAAAATTAGTAAGTTGGGAGGATCATACGTCTGAGACAGCTTTGAATTATACCAGGGACAAAATATAATTTTATATTTAGTTCATACTATATAAAAAACTCAAATAATCTTTACTTATCTACAATTTTAGTTCTGTTACACACCTGTCTGTGGAGTATATACACAGAGATGGCCAAGGTCAACAATATCACTGGATGAGCAACACATAGTTGCAGCAACCACCACAACACCGTCCAAACCATACTTGACACTTGTTACTTCACTTTGCGATAAACAACTGAATCATCACTAGAACTGCGTTCCTAAACCATCAAACTCCTCACAGACACCAACCTCCACAAGTTGTTACTACAGAGAACAAACAACACGTGGACTCAAACGACAACGACAATCAACCAAGACAAAACAGCTGCTACTGTGGTGGAAACAGAAACAACTGGAAAATAAGATGATTTATCAATGAAATGAGTCATTTTGTCATCTGTTGGTTGACTCAGTCTGTGTTTAATCAAGATTCTAGGGAAACCCATTACGTACATTTATTTCGGCCTGTGGATTGATTACTGAATGAATTTAAGAAAATAAACAATGATTAGTGGATCATCAAATCAAAGATTATTGATTATTTGTGCAGTGGTGTTAATAGTATAACACAATTTTGATCAGTATTGATTAGATTATCATTATTAACAGCTAGATTTTTCGTATTTTCCTTTAGACTTTTTACTAAATTACTGTGCAAACGAGATTTTGCACTTGAGACAAGGTATTTTGCATTTAAAGCTTATACAATTTACTAGCCTATAATAAATCATTACTAGTATTTGTATATCTCTTTCATTAAGATTAAACATTGATGATCTTAACAAGAAGTTATCAACAAGAAAAGTTTAATCTTCAAATACAAAAAAAAAAAAAAACACTTAAGTGATATTGCACAACTGATATGGACTGATAATCGCAAATTCTCAATAAGTCCCACTTATCACATATCTTTAGATAAGGCAAAAATGGCAACATGCACTTTTCACAGGAAATATTCACTTGCACTACAACTAGACACTGACAAAGTTTGAGAAAAACTGAAAATTTAAAGTGAACTACGTAACAAAACGATTACACACAGATAATTTTTGGTCAAAGTTTATCTGTTGCTGGCCGAGTTTGTGAAACTAAAAACTGTCGGAAATAAGTCTACCCACTGCACACGGAAATAGACGGTTGCCAAAAATCGTTGCCAAAGTGTGGCTTAGTGAATCAACAGCTGTGTACTGAGTGATGTAAAGTTTTTTGAATAGTCCATTAACTAATGGATATTGAAGTAGACATCCCATCTATAGAACAGCTGTTGCCAATGCCAAAACTTAATTGGTAAAAGAACATAGTTGTGTGAGCCAGTCACAGAATTTACTAGCAGTGTATAAAATTCCATTGTCTACCTTATTTTTTTGTCGCTGGCAAAGTTAATGGGTCGTAACAGTTGCTATAGCTCACAATAAGTCATTATATAAGTTTAATTTGGTAAAACAGTCTGTGTATTCGACAGAAATTTGTAATTTACATCAGCACAATCTGTTGGTAGCTCACACCAGTCACACCAACTTCAAAGATTTTGATTTTAAAACCAGCAACAACTTAAAACATGGGGATGGAATGTCTCGTTGTATCAATAGTCAAATATACTACCCACTGAATGTGTTCTTAAGAGAAGTACTGTATGCAGTAAGTGATGAAAATATTATTTATAAATTTTGTAGGACAAAATGAATGAATTAACGGCAAAAAACTGTTATGAACATTCAAGCTCAATCATTATTTAACTAAAACATTATTCTTCATTATTTCAACTTCAATAAAAAACAAAAAAAAAAAAACAAAAAAACTGACTATACCAGTTAGTATTTTATGAATGTACTACGAACATCATCACTAAAACAAGTTACATCCTTATAATTACAATAATTTTAATCTCTCCTAAACAAAACCTAACAGTTTCATCAACAAACTAGACAATAAAACACAAAAAAATGCAAAAACTGAGGCAAATTTCTCACGTAACGTCCGAAGAAAAACCAAATCACCGCCAAACACACACATCCACACATGCACTGCACTAGTGGAACCACAGATCAACAACAATGCAGGGTGTATCATGTAGACTGCTGAGAGGACAATATGTTACACGGATGGACAAAAGATAGGGTCAACGACTCAGGAAGTCAGCTGATATTGACTGATGACTACTGACTACTGACTGACTGATGCAGTAGAACAGTCAGAGACCTTGGGGTGTCAAGGTGACTATGTCCACATAAGGTGGCGTCCTCACCAGTTACCTGACCTGACAATAAAAGGAAGTGAAGGTAGTTGTGTAGTTCCTAGTGAATAGATTAAGGCAATGTTGATGAAATAAATTTGTCGGACTTTTTTCGTTAATTCATAACCGCTATGTTTTTAGATTGAAATTTTATGTTTAGCAAATTCTGTTTAGGTTTAGGTTATCTCAGGTTATTAGGTTAGAATCAAGGCTCCGAAGCATAATCTAAACCTTAGATAGTGTAGTCATATAACTAAATATACATAGTTAATAGTAAACTAATGAAAAAGCTTAAATTCATAAATTAAAAGGCAAGGGTTACAAGAAATGTAGTTTGTGCAACCTAAATAATACAATTACTCTGATTCAAATACTCAAATATAATCTGAAAAGCTCTTATTTTATAAACTTGACAGCACCTACTATAATTAAAATCAACTTATCAGTCACAAAATGCTAATATAGGTAATGCAAAATGGTTGAACGTTCCAAATTTATTTTAATTTAATCAACCTTATTTTCTATAAAATATATTTTTTCATAGAATGGAGTAATGCACATTGAAATAATATTTGACAAGCTCACTTTCATAAGTTTTGTTGTAATTTTATTCCAATTTAAAAATAATGTCTAATTTATTTTTTTTATAAAATTAATTTATTGATAGAACTTATACTCAGCAAAGATTTTTTTCAGAGACATGATAATCCCTAATCTATTTTAATACAATTCAAAGTAAGTGCCTGCAAAACGCTCCCCGCAGCCCTGCTACGTTATTGTGTAGTGTTTGCGTCTGTGTAATTGCAGGAACCATCAAAACATCAATATGTAACATTTTTCACAAGAACATCATCCATTAATGATATAAATTAGTGTAATGAAAATGATACTATTAAACCGTCTGATACTAACAAATTACCATTATTGACTAATTTCAAGTGTCCAAATGTCAACCGTGATAAAGTCAGTGAGAATGAATGGATCCCGAAAAGGTCAACAGTTACAATTATGATTTAGGCTTCATGACACAAATAGTAAAGTTCAGTAAAATATTTTATACAAAGTACATTATTGCTCGATCATTATTTTTCATTACTGCTAAAATGTAATTTGCTCAGTTATTAATTAACTTCTTTTCGATTAAAAATGACAAATATTTTTTATTTCATAGAATCATAAACACAATTTTCTTTTGTTCATAAAACACCGATTCCTCATAAATTTGTCAAGTGGCACATCTGATTTACAATTTCTATGAAAAAAGTTATAGAATATTCTAATCACAAAATTTTTTGGAGTCAAATATTGAAAATTACTATAAATAAGTTAGACGTGGCCACTGTAAACAATAACCACTGACAATGTTCTGACCAAGCTACAGACAATTTACTACAGGATAAAGTAAGAACTGCCTGGGAGGAGTTCACTGACACACCCATACAGCCATTGTTTTGATGCTACTTATTATCACATTCGATTCTGACATTGTCAAACCCACCCACGTTTCAATTGCTATAAATTTCAAGGTTTATGAACAGTTTAAAAACATATAGGAATGTAGTTTTCAAATGAAGGTAAAATATAGGAAAACCGGTGATGTTACTGTTCTGAATATTATTTTAAAGTATATAATTTGATTCCTGATTCTGAATCCAATACAATTTTGTGAGACCAGTTAAGAAAATATTTCAAAAGTAAATTTTAAATTTGCCTAGGGTCGTATCTGTTTGAGTAATACAGTTCTATTACACAAAGGAGTTTTGTAAATAACAATTAATACATAACAGTTGAGAGTATAGGCATTGAACGATTTGGTTCGAGCGGAGTTATGTAAGACAATTAACACAGGTATTTTAAAATAAATCCAACCAACGTAACAGTAACAAACAATAATAATTTATACATAACGGCTGTTATGTCACAGTTTGGGGAGCAAGCTAGTGGTAGAGCGTGGGACTTCAGCCCTTGAGGTCCCAGATTCAAATTCCGCAAAATCAACAATGGATTTTATCTAACTGATAATGTCACAACACCTAGGTCTAGCCTGAGGTAATGTGAAAAACAATCCCTGGCTAGGTCCTAGCGTCCTACAACAAAAAAAGGTCGCATTTGCGCTCTACAACATAGTTTTTAGCCATCGCGAATTTTCCTACGGTTAAGTAAACTGTATCAATTAAAGTAGTCTTAATGGTAACTACAAGTCAGAGACCACTGGACATTTTTTTTTAGGGTCCGTACAAGCCAAAAACACTATTAATTAAACATTTTTATATTTGTAACTTAACTATTTTCAACACCATTGAGTTAGCACTATCCTTCATATTGCCTACAACACCTGAGATGTTCCTAACAGTTAGACACTAGTGTGGGTGTGAGGTCAATGTCCTGACAGTGACAGCAGGTGTGTGTGTGTGTGTGTGTTTGTAGTGAGGACTCCATTCATCATACTGATAGCCTATCCATTACAACTAATAGTCTCCTCTAATTATTAACCTACTTAACTTTCTCCGTGTGAACCAGTAATACTTTGCGGTTATGATTGTCCATCAAAGGTGGTATTCAAAAGAAAGCTAACAAATAGTGCTTAATGTTTATCACCAGAAATTGGTCATAGGATAAATTTTTAGGGGAAGAGATGAACGGTAAAACATGAGTGTATCCAAGACTAATTTTTTTTACTACATTAACTGTCAAGTGTTTATTGCCTAGTCTCTATTCGTCATTGTTTTGTTGCCAATAAATGGAAGCAACTAAAATTTAAAACAAATCATTTTAATATTTCAACAACTACAACTAATATAACTCATTGTACATGTAATAAGTAATAAATATAAACTGTATGCATTTATTTCGTCGGATGATACCGAAGGCAGTGTTGATATTTTAGATTTTCTAATACTACACCGGAAAATATTGTCTTAGTTAAATGCCACAAACATGAAAGCAAATTGCAAATACATGTCTTTAAGTATTCAAACTCTTGAGGCCAGTCAACAAGCCAAGCCTTTGTTTATCTTTCGTAGTCCACTAACAACAGAGCACCACACTGCGAGAATTGTCAATTACCATCTGCTGGCCTTGGGAATTCCTCAACACACTTCCTGTTTAAATGTCTTCTCAGCTGATCTCGACAAGTGCTATCCTCACATCTGGTGGGAAACTTAAATAACACTTTCATTCATCTGTGTTTAAAGCGGTGAACTATCGTAAAAGTCCCTTTAAGTCATGAGTGTTTTAATGCGATTAACTATTTAAATAATTTTAGTCGTATGGGATGAATTATTATTAACAATGTATAAATTTTGTTGTTAGCCTTAAGACAAAGACCCTCATAGTTAACCAAAAATAGGCTAGGAACTAATCAAACAAGTTCAATAAAATTAATAACATACGTAATTAACAAAACCTTTAACTCTGTACAAGATCAAATATTAACTAAACAAAGAAGTTAGTAAAACCCCTAACGTCAAAAATACCAAACGCAGACTGATTCTGGAAGACCTTATTACACGGAAAACGACCTCTAAAAGAAGACAAGGTCAGCAAAGCAATGAAGGTCATAAGGTCAATCTTTGCCTCAGGCTTGGGGCCTTCACTGCTGCAATCAAGATGATTACGACCAAACGCAGCAATCCAACTGTATCCTCAACATTGGACTCGGCTCACTACGTCTTGCGAAACACAAGTGGAAAACACAAGCGGACAAATTCTTACATAAAACAGAAACTTTCTACAGGAAACCAACAATCAAAAATACAATCAATTTCAGAACAAAATAACAATTTTAACCCCAAAAATTCAGTGCTAAACAAAGAGACAGAGGTTACAAAATTTATTAAAACAAACTGACTCACATTTATGCTGATTGTCGAGGGAAGTTCCTCTCCTGGATTCAACCGAGAAATCCTCTTTTTCCAATCAGTCTGTCCCCTCTTCTGCAGGGCTTCTAATCTGCAACAAGAAAAATAAATGAAACCAGAATCATGACTCATCTTAACCACGTTTCAGTATAACAAATTGACCAAATGTTTGTTAAACGTTTTTCTGTTAGTGTTAAATGTATTTGACAACTCTTCGAAACTAGGGAGATACATTTTTTGGACCACTAGGTAGAAAGCTTGAAAATGAACCCTTAGGTTGAAACCTTGGTCACAAACTAAAAAAAGGATCACTGACAGTAAGACAGGACGTATTTAACCTCTTTACTGTTAAAAATAAATGGTAATAAACAAATAAAATTCAAAACAACATGAGAAATGCGTATAAGCTGTGGATACGTTGAAGATAGAGGGTAGAAGACAGCAACAGATTAGAGAGAAACACATGGCTCCTTTTATCAGACATAAACAATCTTAAGAGACTACTTCCTGGTGGTTAGACAACCCCTGATAAAGCCAGGTAAACATAGAACCCTTTAAACTGAGTAACATTAAGGGGTGGGGGGTGGGTGGGGGTTTGACAGTATGGAGTAGACTGTATCCTTGTGGAAAGAATTTTTAACAACCCTTCCATCTGATGGAGTTAGGTTTTAAAGACAAACTTGTGCTTTTAATCACACGTTTCAGGGACTACAAAACACTTAATTTCTATACTTCTAATGTTCTGTTTGACAATGAAAGAACAAACTTGATACAACAAAAACTGCACAATGATATTGTCCATAGCAGACCTGCAAAATTAAACAATTGAATTATTTGACAAAAATATATTTTCACAACACATCTGTACACAACACCTTTTTCCATTAAATCTTGGTTTTGAGACAAGTAGATGCTTCAATAAAGTGATAAAAGTATTAAAGGCCTAACTACTTAATGTGATCACACAAACGCAAGAAAAATCCTAACCGTACTGTAACAGTTAACACTTATGTGATTCAAATCACAACCCTACAGACAGGCTTTGCTCAGCAGGTTATATGTAGACCACTACACCAATCTCTTTCATTCAGGTACAACAGAGTTCGGTTATAACCATGGGTGGTCCTTTCAACTCTACAATCAACGTAACAGGACAGGCCCTACTTTAGGTGGATCACACAACATCTAAACTGATAAATTTATCCAAGCATGTTTTGAACTGTCATTTACAATTTTATTTTTTAAGAATAAAAAGAAAAAAATTTTGTATAACTCAATTCATATGATTAAACTACTTCAAACATATGCTTGCATCTGGTGGACCAACATGTGGACACGAGTTATCAACTTGCTGATAATGCAACAACTTCCTGTGTCCCAGTAAACAACAACATTGCTGCAGAACAGTGAATGACTGACTCCCAACTGTGGTGAGAAAGGACAACTGTAGATTTTTGTATCGGAAATATTTACTTGAGGTCAGAGGTTGACTTGAATTATTGAAAATTGGGATTATTTATATTGGTAGAATGTACATCTATAAAAAGTTTTTCCACAGGGATGATGAGGTTGTTAAGAGTAATTTTGTACAAATTGCAAGGTTTTTTTTATTGTTTATATTGGGAAGTTATAGTGCATTTTAGTTTATTGTTCAATAAAAATCTATTTTGATGATCAGGATAATTATCAAGACCAGGACACAGATGTCCTGAAGTATTACCTGCAGATTTTGTGAAGATGAAAAATATTAAGGTTGTTCATAAACCTCTCCATAACTTGCTCCAGTCACAAATCGCAATCAATATATATGTATTTTAAATCTGAGACCAATGTCAAGTTCCAAATACTGTTGATATTGTAAATTGTTTGAGACTCATGGGACATTTAGTATCATCATGTACTCGTAAACGTAGTTTAAGAAAAATTAATACTCCTGAATGAACCTCGTTGTGTGGTTTTACTTCTGTAGTTTCAATCGTCAAGCGCTATTCAAGTCCATAGCAAATTGACAGATGTGAATTGAGTATAAAACTTTACCATACAAAATGTGTGCAAGGCATTAAGGGAGTTCGGGGATGGTCATAAACATTTATTCAACGTTTTTCCATTGAGTAGACAGAACGCTGTCGTTTGGATTGTAACCTGCTTGCATGGCTGTGACAGGAGCGTTTTGAAGATCTTAATTTACGTACGACCAACGTAAGCGTATTGAATCAGTCTACCTCTGTGTGATGGACGCTCTGTTGGTAAGCGGTTCGTCACACTCGTCCATTGGCTGAGTTCTGCATCTCCGCAGTGGTAGAGCCTCCGTCACACCACTCGGCGGCCGCAGCACCACCTCTCCGTTCATCGCAGAGTGGCTGCGACTCTTGGACAGCCCTTCGCTTCCCGATGTCCTCTTGGCTCTGGAACAAAACAAAGGAGGTTATCAGATAACATTCGACTAAAGTCACATCAAATCTGAAAACTTTTTTTACAACTTGTTAAGATAATTTAAGTGATGACGGTTATTTCCGACGACAGTATTTTAAGATTTTTGGTTTGTAAAATTTCTCAATGTTCTGAGAAAGTTGTGATTTTTGATCAATTTATTCCTAATTTAACGTATGACACTTCGGTAAATTCGACAATTGCTATCAGTTCGATGCTGTACAATTTTACTCTGAATATAATATCCCGGCTCAGCGATAATATATACGCCAATAATATTCGCGGATCCCAGCTGCGAATGAGGTTTTTTTTAATAAGAACCGAATTATCGTCACACGACTCTGACGAGGTCTACTCTCCAAGTGAACGGTTGCTTCCTTTCTTCGTTTGAACGCTGGTTCTTAATATCAATCCTGTCAAGCAATCAATCAATCAATGGAGCGGATTTTGAGCGTTTGAATTTAAAATCGGCACACGATAAAATATATTTAGAGTAAGTATGCACAAATATTGTGGAAATATTGGGAAGGAGCTGGTATAGTGGTAATGTGGAACTTCGGTCCCAGGTTCAAATGTTGCCAATCACCGATGGATGTTATCTAAGTGATAATAGGCCTTTATGCCTAGCCTGAAGTAATGTAGAAACGGTTCCGCGATAAATTCCAGCGTCCTAGGATGTAAAGGTAAAACGTAAAAAAGCAGAAAAGTTTACATTTTCCTTGCAAACCGATTGATTGATGATTGAATTCAGAATTCACCTTGAGTATCAATTATCAAATTGGACTCATCAACAATTTATTTTAGAGCATTTGTAATTAATCACAAATTTTCTGTCAAACTAATCACAGTTCAAAGACTCGTGCAGACCACACATTCAGGGCCCACTCTCTACCAACACAGTCATCACATCCCGTACTGCAGACCAAGGCCACATACCTAGCCATCTTGGGTAGGTACATACCTTACCTTACCACACCTTGGGTAGAGGTAGGTGAAGTACTATACTATGACTATCCGCAGTATTATCCCGATAATTAGACCAATTTGTATATACCAAGGCAAAAATGTGGTTCGGATTCCACTGTAAACTGTAGGTCCCTTAGTTGCCATTAGCTGTATGGGCTAAACAGCTGTGTCTAAGGAATGTCGGCCATAGTCACTAACAAGACTACAGATCGCGCCAATCATCCTACACTCATCTCCATTCATACTTGGCTTAAAATACCTACTTTGTATGGTTGCCATTTAATAAGAAAGTATTAAAGTACAAATTTTAACCTAGTACATCCCATTAGGTAGAGCACAAATCTTTATTTATTACATTCCATATCGTCTTCAGTAGAGGTAGTTACAAATTTGCCATACATACTGCAGATAAAGAAAATGTTTGAACTTTGTGCACCAATAATTACAACTAACATATTTCAGATACGATTCTTGGTCTTATCTCGATTATGACACGTTTTATACAAAGTTAAAAGACACCCAAAAAGACCTACAATGGAGATAAGCATAAAATAACTTTCTGCACCAATAATTATAAAACATATTTTATATTTGTTTCTCGGTCTTATATCGATTTTGACACTTTTTATACAAAGTTAAGAGAAACCAAAAACGAAGAACTAAAATGGCCCAACAACGTATCAGAACCTACAGGCTGTTGTCAACATCTGTGTTATATCTTAGATTAAAGTGTTGACCTAGTGTCTAATCTGTAATCTAATGGGAGAAGAAGAGTGGCTTGGTATCAGTTCCAAGTTTTGTTTACAATCTTCAGCTTTTAGAACCGATCACTGTAATCGTTTTACGATCTACAACTAAAACAAACATTTATATTTCACTTCCCACGCTCCTCACTTATGAGTACAATGAGTTAATAGTATCCTCCATCCTTAAGAAAAACATCACAACCACTTCTTTCATCAAAGTCTAAACGCAGCAACGCAATTTACTAGGCAAGAACTGTGGAAACGGCGCAAACCCTGCAAAACAGCAGAAAGCGGGTCGCCGATTGGTCGCGGTCGGGAATGATGGAAATGCGTTTCATTCCCGTCATAGAACGCCGCGATTTCTCGTAGTAAAGAACTGAAGAAGCGAACGTGACAACGCGTATACACTTTACGAGTGGAGAATTCAATGATCGCCGGGAAGATGTTGCGGCTGCGTAGAGTAGTAAATATAAACTAAGGTCGGTAATGTCGCAGCGGTTGCCTCAGGTAAGACAAAAACGTGAGAAAACTATGTCAAAGAGAAAAAGTTGAACCGCACAAGATACACGGTATCCCATACTCTACTTACACGGTCGTATTTTGATCTCTGAAGTGTTTAAGCAATTATAAATTAAGGATTATACAGATCATACAAGATATATTTTGTAATATTAAGAGGTAATAAAACAGTGGTCCTCTGAAGTGACAATTGCATTAACGATTCCTGGAAGATTGAGAATATCAAAGTTTAAACTTCAATATTAAACCAGTAAGGAAAGTTATATTTACCATTTGTTTACTACTGTACAGACAGATTAAATAATTTAATTGTTCCACAAAAAAATTATTTTATTGACTACCAAAACAATAACTTACGTTCTTTTGATTCGCCATCTTGGCCTTAATGAACCATTGCCAAACTGTAAATACCGTAGCAATATTTTGTTAAAAGATATACAATAGCCGTAAAGCAGACCAAAAGAACTAATTAATTCTCAAAAAGGTTAAAATGAGAGAAAAAGTTCCGTGTTTATCACTTCCAATATATCAGTAGGGGAAGCATATAGGTGGAGGTATAAGAGCGTACAATGAACTAAATGTTTGTTATCCTTAACTAAAAAAATTATTGGTACATTTTAAGAACCCATATTATTCCACAACCTTTTTCCAACGTTCGAATGGGATTGGTTCGCAAACTTACAGACATTACCATGAAAATTACGGTTAGCCCGGTGAACCCAAATTGGCTTTTTCGTAATAACAAATCGGGAAAAAATACAAAAACATAAAATGTTAGTTCGCTACTCTTTTTCAATTAACCCCTTTACGGTACATAACATCCTACTAATCCTACTAATATTATAAATGAGAAAGTTTGGATGGATGGATGTATGGATGTATGGATGTATGTTTGTGACAAGTGAACGCAAAAAATACTGGTCGGATTGGGCTGAAATTTGGCATGATGATAGCTCACATTCCCGATTAACATATAGGCATATTCTTATTTCAAAAATCCTTTCGGGCTCCGCCCCAGTGGCTCTGGAGTTTCCTATGTTAACCTTATGAGAAATGGAATTATTGAATCTTAACAGCTGTTTCAACTTAACAAGTTGGTTCTGTTCTATGATGTTCAATAGCATTAAAGTTACAAGGATTACCAACAGGGTGCAGCACTATTATTTCTTTTACATTTATTTTGACAACAGCTAATTTGCAACCAAAAGGTGAGTGAGCGTAGCGAACGAACTTCAACCTGGAGGCGTAGCGAACGAGCTAACCTGAAGGCAAGTGAGCGCAGCGAACGAGCTCCAACCTAAAGGTGAGTGAGCGTAGCGAACGAGCTCCAGCCTAAAGGTGAGTGAGCGTAGCGAACAATTGAGCCATGCGAACTAGATAATCTTGAAAATTAAGAAGTTAAACGGGGCAAAGCCCGCGGGTTACAGCTAGTATGATATAATAATGATTGTTCATCTAGCGGCAAGAACAGAAGGCAGACCAGATACTCCAAGTACGATGATTTACATCTTAACTTAACAACAGATAGTTAAACAGGACTGTAGCTCGTAAAACCCACAACTCGTCTGGCTGTGTAATAATGAACATTGCCTACAGCTGTTGTTTCGCGAACCGAACAGCTTCACTTGGTTTGGACGTGAGGAATATTGCAAAAATACAGGGAGATTTCATTTTCCTATTTTGGCAACACTGACAATTTCAACAGCTGTTCGTTGTTGCATGTATGTAACACATAGTCCATTACAACACATTTACGAAATGGATTAGTTTAATTATTTCTCAACGTGTTAAAATTGCTCAGTTCTTCTACAGAAACGAGATTGCATACACAATCTATACTGAAATTAGAGAGAAAAGTATGTAGTCAATTTAATCGTCCTAATGGGCGAACAGATTTAGACATAGTTAAGAAATTGAAAGAACGTGGAATAGCCGAGAAAATTGCTGTTACAAGTGAAAATGTGAACAAAGAGCCGCCATATTATTCGTCATTCGCAGACTTTAGGCCTTTCGTACGCCTCCAAAACAGCATTTTGCATAAGGATTTGCACTGACACTCACAAAAGTCAGTAATGAAACCCATGGATAATTTAGAGGGAAGAATTTGATTCAGAGTGGACTTTAGAAGATAAGGATGTTGATGCTGATTTTTCGAAAGAACTCTTCTCTGATGAACAAGTTTTAATATCTCTGGCCCCTCTGGGAATGCTAATTAACAGAATTTCCGAATATGTGACAACCCAAATCCTCACATACATGCTGGGCGTTGTCGAAACTGAAAGCAAACATTTAACGTAACCGATAAGAATTTAATTACTTCTAGTAAATGCACGTGCAAGAGGTAGTTGTACAGGTGTCGTCCCAGAGGTGGCTATGGTTGTACTGAACACTTTTGCTGGATTATATAATGTAATAATTGCCAGGTTCTGTGCTGCACGAGTCATAGTTAGTCACAGCCATTTGAGTAGGCCTAAGTTAAATATCGCTCATACATAAATTGGAAAACGAATTATTAAGAATAAGATATCATGTTTAATTTACCACTTGCAAAAATTAGAATTTATAAAATTTCATCTGAATTTTTGAGAGAGTTATTTTAAAGGTCCAGGTAAATTTGAACATTTTTAAATGGTCCACGGAATAAAGATGGATGAGATAACACTTAAAATTCTCTGGTTACTCTTTTTACACTTTAAAATTTGCACTAATAATTATGGATTTGCTATCGAATAAATGAGAGACTG